TTTCCATGGTGGTCTAGTTTCAATTGCCTCATGATCTCAACTATTGATACTGTTTATCATAAATGAAATACTAAATTATCTACATTATTATACCAACTAATATCAAATTAGCTAAATGTTTAGTGCAGATGAACCAATTAAACAAAAGTTAAGAATAAAAAGTATATTTTTAATATCCCGGTGAGTAGAAAAATTAGATTTTCTGACGTTTTATGACTTAGTGTAAGTTACTTCTTCAGAGAATAAATCATTGGGATATTACAAATATATCATTTATTGATAACAATCTACCCAATGCTCATTTTATTTGACAAAAGCTAAGAATATTAAATAATCTTTAACTTTCAAAAAAAATTTTTAGTTAATAATATTTGTGATCAGCAGCAATTTTTTTGTTTAAAATAGTTAAATATGCAACCCGATAATGGAACAATGTTACATTACCGATAATAATGTCGTTAACCAATTTTTAAAAAAATTAAACAGTTTACAATAAAATATCAATAAGTAGTAATCATAGTACTTCTAATTGTGTAAATCACATTCTCTGCAACATAATACACTTCCAACCACTTAAGGTAAAATTATGGCTCTTGAATAAATGAATATATGATTCAATCAACTACTTGTGATAATTGAATTAACACCAACTTTTATTCTGATAACCGAATATAAACAATACATTTAGCCAACGTTGACTAAATGATGATTTAAACTCCATTAGTACCTAATTATTTCTTACCCAAAAGAGTATTCCTTCAAAATCTATGATGATGATATAAATATATTACTTAAAAAGAAAATTGGAGTGTTATTAGTTAAAACACTTGTTTAAAACTGTTGTTTAGTAAATGATTATATGCCTTAGCTTTATTTATTTTTTCAAATAAGGTTTGTGATCAAAAATTTTGTCGATTAGTTTAACAGAAGTTAATATTTAGCACTGTAGACTGATATTTCTTTCGCTTATCATATGATTAGTATACTATTTTTTTATTGTCTAAAGCTTTATGTCTACATTCAATTAGATGAATGTACATATGATGATTATTATTTATTAACTAAATAGTAGATTACATTTTACACGTTATCATTATTAATAATAAATGTTTCATCGCATTTTTAGATAATATGCATCATTTGTATACATGACAAAACTTCCTTTATCTTGCTATAATGTTATCCAAATCAAATTGACGTTTATTCATTAATTTGATGATAATGATGACAATGGGATTATATATATATATATATATATATATATATATATATATATGTATATATAATTTGTAAAAGATTATTTTCCACTTTATATGACTATTTCCTACGAATATCAACATCAGTCACATTTATTCATACTCTACACATGAAATAAATAGATTTTGGATTGTTACGTGATATAACTTCCATCATCTAATTGATCTAACCTCATATTAATTATGCACATAGATTAAATTGTGATTCTGACAAATGGTCAATCAAATGGAATATTTTTGTTTTATGTGTGTCTACAAAAAGATTTATATTGAAAACAGAAATGGAATTCATTCGAAATATAAGGATTCTATTATGAGACACAGATACTGATTCTTTAAACCATGATGAAAATATTATTAGTAGTATGAGAAATAAAAGTTTAGTGTGAAATAGAATCTTTTTCAGATGTGACAGGACAGATATTTGATCAATTTTGAGTATTCACTTGAAACAAGTTTTTGAAATACTAATCTTGGTTGTTATTCACTCAATGATGTCACTTTTGTCTATGATGGTCTTTAGTGTATTGGAAAATACAAGTTAAATATTAAAAACTTACTTATTATCGGTTTTCGCACTGGAGATGTCATGTTTGCTTACTGAATCACACTGCTACTGATAGGTTGATTTATTTCGTAAATAAATTTTCTTTTCATTTACATCCAAATCCGTCATATCTCGGCTAAAGCATATCCTAATAATTCATACATTCTTGTAAGCGAAAAGAAGTTAACAACAAAAATCTTAAATAATAACAACTGGAGCGTTTGATATTATATATTATCTGACCGAAGACTCTCTTTGAGCATTTCGGTCAGTTAATAACAGACGTTATATTTTGATTGATGTGGATAAGTTTAAGGTTTAGTTCTACTACTTTCTGGTATGAAATTCTTACTTGACAGTCTATAAGTTTTTCAGATGTGAAAAACGACCTATTTGTATCACCACTATTTTACAAGGCAGATTAAATTACCCAGAAATGAATAGGTCAAAGTTGTCGTTAAATGTTTCAAGTCATGTTTTAAACTTGTTAAATAACAAATTGTTTAACCATTGAGACGAAATTAAAAGAAGGATTATATTTTGATTCAGTATAAAATTCATTTTATTCCAGTGTGATATTCGTTCAGTATAATATGCAGTTTTCGTTTAGTATTATTTCAATGATAGGTTCACTCTATGATATTCATTGTCTAATGATCAACTGAAAATAAAATCTATGCAAAAATGTATTTGGTTAAAGTAGTAGTTATAATGTTACTGGAGAATCAGTGAAATCGTCACACGTCATTAATTTTTACCATCGCTACTATTTCTTACAAATCTCAGCTTTTCTCGTTCTAGGCTTTAGGTTTTACGGTGATTTCAATAACTGAAATCTTCATTGTTTCCAAAGCATACATTATCAAACTAGGTACATCAATATACACCAACTAAAATGTCAACTAATTCACTGATTTATGAGTAGTAGGTTAACTCTTCATTAAAAATAGAAAGTAATAAATAGATATTTATGAATATATATATATATATATATATATATATATATATTAAACTGCGATTTTTCAGTCTCTTATTGGCAAATCTGCATCCTTTGCGGATCGCCTCGATGCTGCCTTACGTCACGAGCATTATAGGCAAATATGGAAGATGGCTAGCAGTGGAATCAAGAAAGCGCGTTTCGTCCTATTTTGGACTTGTCAGCTGGATGCATCTGCACCCCAGAGCCCCATAGTGAACATCAACTCTCAGATGCAGACACATCCGGCTGACAAGTCTCAAACAGGACAAAGCGCGCGTCCTGAATTCTATTACTAGCCACCATCTATCTTTGCCTACAATCTCCTTTTTTTAATAGTATTTTATAGTATGAAGCAAAACTCTATAGGTCAAATTTTTAGTTCTCATTAATTTGTATACGATTTTGAGTTTTGCCTAGTCGTATTACCTTTTCTATTACAAACCATTGTTCATAGTTATTTATCAAGTGTATAGAATAATCGAAGTATTCCACCTTTTCTTTTGATTTCCTCTCTTAAGTTGTTAAATGACAGAAAATCTGTTTATAAAATAATTTTTTTCTTGAAACTAAAAAAGAATCCAGTTGAATTTTATTAATTTTCATAAGTGAATTTGTGAACTCATATTAAGGTAGATTACATAAGAATTAGGGCATAAATGATGTTAATTCATCATTACTTTAACTTATCAACTATACCATGGATATCAAGTTCAACCTTAATATTTTTAATACTTAAATATTTTTTTATGTTTAAAATAAAACCTTCTGAGCAACTATTATTTGTATTTTTAATAGTTTAATTCATGAATCAAAGCTAGACCACCATTGAAAACTTAGAAGCACTGAATGGCTGTTTCGTCCTAGTTTTGGGCTCGTCAGCAGTACACACCCGCGATCCTGCACGTGAGACTCAAACCCAGAATCTTTGGTCTCGTGCACAAACACTTAATCACTAGAACACTGAGCCGGCATTCATTCTGATATTATTTGAAGTATTCACGTCATATATCTAAATATTATTCTATTTTTTTTCTTATATGGAATGAAAACGTTTAATATAAAGTATGATACTTAAATCTATATAGAAATAAAAAGTGAGCGTGTGATAGTGGTCAATTCATTTGAAAAGTTAATCGAACAATTATTGTTTCATATACTTTTCTCCTATAAGTTTCAATTATAAGGATTAAATATTTTCTATTAAGATGAACTCAACAAAATTCAAATTCGTTTAATTCAATCTCACCTTAATCCCACTGCTTTTCTTTACAAATCGGATCTTCTATTTGAACTGCTTTTAAAACCAATATCTATTCTATTGATTTATATATGTTTCACTATCTAATTTAGTCATTCCTTTGTAGACATATTTATAAATAATAGTAACTTATTGGATTATTTCTTCTATGTAAAAAATAAACAATAATCAACCATTTCACGAATCAATTGGAGTTCAACTAAAAAACAATACACAAAAAATCTATTCCCAGTAGTAGTAGTGGTAGTATACAATGTTGAATAGACATTTCTAAGATAAATAACGAAGACACGGTTTTTAAATGAAATCCTTAAATGTAATTTTATACCCATTTAATAAATATTCATTGTTTGCCTAAATAAAACTTATTTACTTCTCAATATATTTTGTAAATCACTGATGAATATTCGAATCAGAATCGAAATATTTGGTAAGGCTTTTTATTTAATATGTATATTAGTTCAATACAGGACATATAATTTTACATAGCATTATAAAGAAAAATTTTAAAGACTAAACCTATATAATACTAAGAAACATATTTGGTCATATTAAGTTGCTCAATTTATTTATTAGTAGTGTCTTGCTTTCACGGTAATGATACAGTTAATTTCATATACTCGTCCTAAAGATTTACTTCACTGAAAAGTACATAACAGGAATTTTAGTGAAGTATTTTTGTTGCCAGTTGAACTAAACAACTATCAACTGATCATAAATCAATTTTATAGAAAAGTGTCTAAAAGGTCTAGTGTTTTCTTACTCTGTGTTCAGCTCAATTTACAATAAACTAAACAAATTTAGAGCTTATACGAGGATCATAAACGTATTAACTGATTACCTATAAGATTACATGGTAGTTAGCACTTATTTTATGACTAAAGTTTAAATATTTTATCTGCAACAAAATTTATATTATATTTTCAGAAACATTTCTCATAATTTTCATTTCATTGACAGGCCTCCACTTCATCTGAAAGATGATAGCTCAAATTACTTCAGTTCTGTATTGGAATCCACTTGGAATTTATTCACCAAATCAACATATGGCAATGATGATGATAAGGATATAGGATGTGTTGGTGAACAGAAAATGTATTCATTTCCCTTCTGTATAGCATTATATATATATATATATATAAATTGTTTTCTAATTATTCTCTAATTTATTATATCGACCACTATTTAGTTTATTTTTAATAAATTCATCTATCTACCTACCTGCCCACTTATTTAATTTAACACGGATCATTTGATGATGAACACGTTTACTAGAAAAGATCATTCAATCATTATCTATATGTATATTGGTCATTTCGTCTCAGTCAACCAGTATATCAATTCTAGTCATTTACATTGTGTTTTTTTTAAAAAAGTCAATTTTGTTTTGAAATTAATATGCAGATATAATACATTTATGTTTCCTTTTCTCTCTTTATATCGTTATTATTATTTTTTCTGCAATTTCAGTTGTTTTTTTTTCAACATAGAATTTTGATAGTTTATTAATAGATTTAATAAGAATAAACAAAAATAATAAAACAATGTTACAAACAAAAAAACACAAAATAATAAAACTAAAAAAATGTGCTCTTTGCGTTCCATTGAAATTTGATCCAACTTATTGATTAACAATTATTAATTTTCTACGAACTATTAAGCATATATATATATATATATGCTTATTTTCTAACAAGATTTTTCTACCTATGCAACAATAAATACAAAAATATAAACTGTATAATTACTCGTTGAGCTTATATAGATATAATGTTTATTTTGTTGTTCTCTATATAGTCATAGTGTTAAAAAAATAATTATTGAGTTAGTTGATTGATTGATTTATATAGATGAAAAGATTTATCAATTTAGGTTCACATTATTTAGAAAATCATTAAAAGTAATAGAGAACATTAGATAGATTTATATTGTATCTTAGTATTCAAATGTCTTAAGATTTAATCGTTTACGACACAATAACTGACTGCATTGAAAACCCTAAGGGTTTGAGTTGAATATGATACTTTTAAATAATTGAGTTTTGATAAAATAAGAATTATTAGGAGTTTTATGGAGACTTTCGTAATTTCAATAATGACGGTGGCGCAATTTCGTGGGTTGGTTGAAGTTAGACATTAACACCGTTGGATGTCAGCTCAGTGGTTTAATATTTAAGTGCTCAGGATCGTGGATGCACACTGCTGAGGAATCCCACATCAGGACGAAATGGCCGTCCAGTGCTTCCAGGTTTTTCATGGTGGTCTAGCTTCAATTGACTCATGATTTCAACTATTGAAAATAAGAATTCATGAATTTATCCTGTTATTTCGTTGTATAATTAGCTGGTTGTCTAATGTTTACAATCATAGCTATCCTACTTCAAATAAAATTGAACTTTATAAGTCATTATATCTCACTGAAATATCAATCCATCATCTTTTATAGAATAAATAGGTTTTGGCTAACAGTGGGATCCAAGACAAGCATTTCAACATATTTAAAACTGTGATGGATATAAATACATGTCAGTGTTGATATTCATATTAGAGCTCTAACCCAATATCTCTCAATTCAAAAGATAATAATTTATTCAGTGAGCTACTGGTCCCAGGCAAATGGATGTATTGGTTTCACTGTTAATAGTATGGGTTTGAATAATTCCACTCTTAGTATTGATGATTAGTCTCTGTTGGCATATGTACATTCTATGTGAACTACTATGTAACTAGTTTTGTCTCATATTTCGCTGCTAGCTACAATCCGTCTATCCTTTTAAACTTATAATGAGAATAGATGTATCAAGACAGTTTGAACAGGAAGTGCATATACCAGAAAAAACTGATCTAAATTCAGTCATGGATATCAAAAACAGGAAAACCTTAACTTTTAATAATGATTATATTAGTTACATTTATTTCATTATTTATCAATAGGTAATTATATAATTAGTATGAATTAAATGTTAAAAGATACACAATAACCAAACATGTAATTATGTCTCATAATCACGATAAATTGCTCAATTTCCTTAAAATTCATTCAAACAAATTTGATAACAAATAACTCACTTTCATGAAAAATCTAATATTATATTTGAGCAACCGTCGACAAAAGTATATACATATATAATCATTGATAGACGTCCATAAAATTGTTCATTTTTCATGAAATGATTAATATAATATTTCATGAATCCAATATACACTTTTTATCTATTAACGGAACTGTTTCAATCGGCCTAAACTATGAGCATAATTTTGTATGTATTTCTTTGAATAATACAAATGAATGACAACCATGTTGATTCTATCAGAAATCAACAAGATCATTTGTAAATTATATTTTACATTATTAATTAAATTAAATAGTAATTTAAGATAATAATAATAATAAAATTAGTAGTTTATTAATTAATAAAATGCAATAATCTCCTCTCAATTATAATCAATCTATAATGTGAAAACAAAAAAAAAAAAAAAGAAAAGCACTAATGAATAATAAAAAAAATGAATGATTAATGAGTTCTATTTTAATGTTTTAGTATATTGATAAACTAGTCTCTTGTTTTGATAGTATTTTTAAACTTTTACTCTCACACGAACATATAAAGCATAATGTGAAGGAATATTTATCTTATAATAAATAATTAATCATTTTATTCAATATAACTATCATTTACAATCAATTTTTATTACAGAATAAATAAACTTCAACAGTTGAGATCAAGAATTAATTGAAGGTAGAACATCATGGAAAACCTGGAAGCACTAGACGGCCGTTTCGTTCAATTGTGGGACTCCTCGGTTGTCCAATGCTTCCAGGTTTTCCATAGATTTAATTAATTCATGTTTCAACTATTGAAATTACTATAATCTCCATAAAACCCTTCCGAATAAATAAACATAAAGTTTAAATATATAACAGTTGATTTAAAGATTGTAAATTCTTATTATCAATGATTCTATCCTATTTTTGATTTCATTTAAATAGATCCATATTCATTAGAATGTAGGTTGATTAACAATTTGGAAAGAAGAGCTGATTATTTTCTCTTTTGAGTATATATATATATATATATATATCCGTAATGTAGTGCTTACAAATATATCCTTTCCTTCCCTTTCGGAAATTCGGTAGTGAACTTGCATAACTGTTTTCTTAATATTACTCTCTTTTCAAAGGAGTATTTAAATGGTTGATTGATATTAAATCTTTTAAATATACTTATCTTGTCCACTTCATTTGTAAATACTATAAAATGGTCATTTATGTTGTAAGAAAATGTTTACCCATTAAGTTTCCTTTATATATATACGAGTTGGAATTTATGTTCAACTCATAGTAGGAATAATTTTATTATCTAAAATTTCGTAAAAGTATTAAAGTTTTTATTAAAAAAAACAATTCCGGACATGATGACATGGTTTGATCTATTTATTTCACCATAGTAAGTTTTGTTGGATTTTAGAGCCTCAAGTTTTTCTATAGGATTTCTTTCTTTCAGGTGATTAGTCACTACATTAGAAATATACGTTCTACAAAAATGATAACGAAGTAACTGACAGGTAACAATAATCGTTTATAAAATCAAGTGTTAAAACGATGGATAGAGAGAGAAGATAAGTTATATCACTTCTAAACATGTATCGAATTTCAAAATATCTGATCATTACTGACTTCGAGACAGTCTTTAATTTTCTGAAGAAATTTGTAAATAAGAATACCTCTAGTTTTTAATGTGACCGGAGGTGATAAGATTCTGGTAAACCAAGCTAATAACTCTAATACTGTGTTTTACATAATTCTCAATTACGAGTTTTGAGAGTATAGTTTGTAAGGCCAATATACAGTTTTTTTAGAAAGCATGTAAAAGATACACTTTGAGGTTGCTAAATGCTCTAGTTTATTCTTAATAAATTTGAGAACCAAATATCTATTGGAGAAAACAATTCAAAGTCTATTCGAATAGAACATGTTTTCAGGCATCTGAACAGTAAGTTTTCCGGAGTATTTCCAATGATATCCCTTTTAAATTCGATGTTCAAGAGAATTTGGAAAGGTGGTTATTTTGTTAGAAGTAGTTTTCAGTTCTCATCCTATACGTCTTTATTATGTTATTGTTGAAATTTCATCTTTCCATCAAAGATAAAGAATGGATTAAGTTCTTTTTTTGTTCAATAGCAACCAACCATAAAAAGTCGTTCATTACCTATATCAAGTTGCCTTTCAATAGATCGACCTCTGTAGATAGTCGTTTACTGCATATCTCAGCGAGGCATCAAAGAAAAAGGAAATTCTGAGTAAATAAACTCTATGAATGTAATCTACCGGATAAAAATAATGACTTCCTATAGAATAATGCTACAACTGATGAGCTAATCAGTCACAGGTAATGAACAAGTAGTTCACATTTTATTTGTATTACTGAAATGTATGAATTGTTGATTGTAAAACACAATTCTCTAGATTAATCATGAAAAATCTACTGAAAAATTCAACAGTAACAATCTTATTGTAGCGTAATTAATTTGTCTATACAATTTATCATATTAGTCTGAATTGAATGTTGGATGAATAAACTAAGAATAGTTTCATTTAGATGTTTTGCGCAATCAGTGTCGTATTTGTTATCTCCAATGCTAATCACACATAAGAGAAAATTTGTGGATAAAGAAAAAGAAAACATTCACTTATATTCTTTTTTTATCAGATATTGTAATGTCAGCTACTGAAGAAAAGAAAAAAGAAGAAATTAAAAGAATCAAGATTATTCTGTTTGCTGAGATGAGTTTCAACTGGATTTAGCAATCACCGTTAAACTATTAGATATTCATATAGTATAAGAATTTATTAATACAGATTATATCAAAGATGGAATATATTTTTCTTTGCAAAATTTCGGAATATCATATACACATAAACAAGATCTTTAACAATCTATATGTACAAATTGATAACTTAATTATAACTAGTATCACCATCATGATATATAATTGTAGTGTCTAATAACAGATTATCAAAAACAAGTGTTGCCTCAAATTGTTTTCTTAGGAATGTGTAACTATAAATATAACTTTATGTACCAGAACGGGTTCGATGGAGATTGTAATAAATTGAATGGTTGAGATAATGAGTCAATTGAAGCTAGACCACCATGGAAAACCTGGAAGTACTGGATGGCCGTTTCGTCCTATTTCGGGACTACTCAGCAGTGGGCATCCACAATCCCGTTCTCCGCGAGATTTGAACACAGGACCTATTAGTCTCGCGCGCAAGCGCTCAGCCACTAGATAACTGAGCCGGCCAGCATCCAACGGTGTTCATGTCTAACTTCAACGAATCCACGAAATTGAGCAACACGTCCACCATTGTCATCAGTGAGTTACTATCTCACAACAGAGCCGGTTGAATTCCACTAGTCACTGCTTCTCACTATAACTCCAGGATATATCTTTTGAAGCTAGTCACCAGTGAGCATATGTTGATTAGTATCAGAAGGGGTTTTGTGGAGATTGTAGTAATTTCAATAGTTGAGATCATGAGTTAACTTGAATGACTTTCCCAGTCTTTCACAATGTACAAATATTCCATCTCTCTTAATGGTATGAATATTTTGCAAAAAAATAGAATATTCTGAATAAAATTTGATTTATCTTACTATTTCGAAATAATCACTGTGTATGCATTCAGATGATGACACAAATCTTAATTATCCAAACCTTAATAATAAGAATTTGTACTTAAAAATGTTTCACTTAGACATAATCAACATAGGGCGTGGGATATACAAACATTAGTCCAAGTTGGCATATCACTTTAGATGAGCAAGACAAATATAAAAGAAGTCGAAATGTCGTAAAAGA